GTCCCGAGCGGATCCGTGAGAGAGCTTATTTTAGGATTGTTTTTTTCGTTACAAAAACAAAACCCTACGAGTTTATTTTGTTGGCGTTTCGTTGGATAATCTGATCTGTGCTTAGGCTTGGAAGAAGGAAAGAAAACGATTTAATTACGAGCAAGCTTAGCTAATTCAGGGTGATTAGCATCGTTTTGTGAAATACGTGTGTTTGTCGATCATCTTCGGGAGTTTCTTCAATCACCGCACTTCTACTTTAGGTAACTATAACATTATTTGATATATGTCGCCTTAATTACAAACATCTTCTTTCACACATTACTAAAAAGAAACATATACCGTGTGTATATATTCTCTTCAGTTTTATTCTGTCATCACTCGGGGATTTCAACGACATGCAAGTAGTGATCAGACGAGAGCTCTTATGTCTTGTAATACGAAGCGTTGCTATGTAAGTGGCCGATATTCTTCCTTCGTGAATTTCCAGTTTGCTACATTGTGATTACTTAAAATATGCTGACTGGGTGGTTTTGTATCACTGCAACGAATATGTACCTTAGAAATGCCCCGAGACAGACCAGGTTTTGTGTTCTGTAGTAAGTTTGGCCTTGGTGGGTACTAGTTGATGTTGATTTGCGTTTGTCTCTTCTCCGATTTCTGTCTTTATCTTTTCTTTCCTCTACAAGTTCTCCCTTTGCACGCTCCTTTACTCTCAAATAGACTCGCTTGACATACCGAGAGACAAAAAGGTAAACAAGTAAACAGACACAGGCAGAGACAGACAAACAGGCGGCAAGCAAGTTGATAGACATACCAGCCCAAACAAAGAGACAAACAAGTAGACAGACAGGCAAGAAAGAAAGAAAACAGCCCGTCAATCAAGCGCAATCTGCCACTTGACTTGAGGAAGCAGAGGAAGTTACCGTATGACTCGCATTGTCCAATGACTGATGTGTGTGCAATATCCACATGTTCTGCAACTGCACAAGCAACGTGTACCGGTTGTGCACAGCTGGATTGGGAAACGGCAGTTCGTAGACTATTTTGGCTGGTTTTGGCACTTTTGAGTGGTGTAATAAGGATTTCACTTTTACATTTTCATTACGTAAATACGGTGGATTGGCGCTTCTTGCAAATCTTAACAGCCAGTGACAATCTTAGTTTTGCATTGCTTATATTAGTGAGATTTGCTATTCCCATCTTGTTTGTGTGGTAAGAGTTGATTTATTCAAGATTGAGGCGAAGAGGTTTGAAGAGAATGAACGTTTTTCTCTTTATTATTATATATTTTTTAGAAAGGTATGACGTTTGAGTTCCCGAGTGGGATTCTCTTGTATTGTATTCCCTTTACATAGTGAGGAAAAGGATTCCATTTAATATTCTTTACGAGTCCTTTCTCATGAAAATATGCGAGTGTGTCTGCGTTTCTGTATTTGACTATGTGTGCATCTATCTGTTTGTTTGAGTCTGAGTCTCGGCACATATGTTGTGTATATATATTGTGTTGAGTTTGGCGCCTTGGCTTCCGTATTTGTGATGGCAGCTGCTGTCTGCTGATGACACGGCAGTTGATGGTAAGGTGATAAGCGTCTGTATAAACGTGACAGTTGCAAAAGGGCCTCGACAAGAAAGTAGCTATGTGATTTTCTTCTTTTGTTAGTATTTCTGCTTGTTAATATGGTCTTCGTTGGTGTTGTTACTGTCAAGTTGTTATCTCTCCCTCTCCCTCTCTCTCTCCCCCCTCTCCCTCTCTCTCTCCCCCCTCTCCCTCTCTCTCTCTCCCCTCTCCCTCTCTCTCTCCCCCCTCTCCCTCTCTCTCTCTCCCCTCTCCCTCTCTCTCTTCATCTATATCTTTTCTCTACCTTTCATTCCCTCCTACCCCCTTTCTGTGTGTGTGTGTGTCTGTCTGTCTGTCTCTCCCTCCCCCTCCCTCATTCATTCCTTCCCTCTCCTTCCTTCCCTCCTTCCATGCCTTTTATTTTCTCTCCCTCTCCCTCCCCCTAAAATTTTATGTGGTTAGATGTAGAATTGCAGCAAGTATTTTTCTTAATCATTAACGAGTAAGAATTAAAAAATCCATTTGATTTTTCTTTTCTTTACTCATTTAAAACATGGTCATTTGAGAGTGTCCACTTGAGGTCTATTAAGTCTTCTTTAGGTTATGTTTGAAGGTCAGGCAGACTTCTCTCAACCCGAACTCCACACACGCCCAAAGTCTAACCATGGGTGGCTAAGTCTGTGCTAGAAATTCGAGTTCGTTTACTTGCACCTTTTATGTTGTGATTTTCATGAGTGCTGAAGAATTTGTCCTTTTCGGTTGCACTTCAATGTGTGTGTGTGTGTGTGTGTGTGTGTGTGTGTGTGTGTGTGTGTGTGTGTGTGTATTATTAGCATAATTATTTTCTTTCTTTTGCCAAAGGTATGGTAGGCCTATTGTTAGCATAATGTATTATTAGCATAGTTATTTTCCTTCTTTTCCCAAAAGTATGGTAGGCCTATGCCGTTTTGA